ATATTTTATTTAAATTAGTTTTAAAGTATTTCTAAATACTTTTTAAACACTGTAGATAGGGACTATTAGTTTACAGAAAAGGGGGTAGTGTAACAATTCTACAAATTGTTCTATCTTAGGTTGCTTAGATCCTATCTAAAGGGTCCCTGTATCAGCCCTAACTATAACTTAACCTAGTCCCCTGCAGTTGCCCCTATTCCCTTATGTATTTAGTCGCACCTCACCCCTGTAGCTAGCTTAGTAGTTTTCTAATATCCTACGTACAAGGCCTATAGGTGTTATTGGTATTCCTAGGTCTCTGAGTCCCCACGCACTCCCATATGCCTCTGAGTGGATTCATACCGCATTCGGACCCATTGTCTTGCCTGCGCCCTTACACTAACAGTAGTATAAGGCGCCTAGGTTAAATAGTTTAAGTAAACAGAATTAGAAGTATATATATTATAAGATATATAAATAGTATTAGCTTATTATAAAGCAGTAATGCTACTTAGTCTATGTAAGGATAAACTAAACTATTAATCACACCCCTGCTGCTGTAGTCTACTGCTCTAGCTATATACATAAAGGCCTAGGGTTAATTGCAAGTGATTGCAAGTGATCGCAGGTAGTCGCCTGCAATCCCTCGCGCGCACTTGCGCTCACCTGCGCTCGCCTGCTGGCTCCCTATTGGACGCTGCATTCGCCCGCCAGCTGGCCCATCATGGTCGCCCATTCCTCGTCCGTTGGGTCACGTGACTTCTTCCCCGGTGGGGTGACCCAAGGGCTCCATCGTTGTTTGTTCAAACAGTGGGGCATTCTCAGGTGATAGATTACAGCCTAATCGTAGGTTGTAACATTATAGCTATAAAATATTAGAATTACGTTAAATATAGTGTACATTACAGGCAAGTTGCTTACACACCTAAGTTGTTTACTTTTGCTAAGACTCTACTAAACTACTTTTTCTACACTAATACATTCCTAATAACACTACTTAGACAAGCTAAAAGAATATTAGATATAGCTTATACTTTAAGCTTTTAAATAAAACATAACACTTTTAAAATAATATGCTATAGCTATGTATAAAGTTTTTTTAAAAAAAATAATAAATAACTAATATACTAGATAACCTTTATAAGCTAATTTTATAGCTAACTTATAAAAGCTAGGTGATAATAAGAAGTAGGTAATTATTAAGCACATACTTAAGCTATATATGTAAGGATTTTCCTCTTAGCTAGTAGCTATAACAAATATAGCTAATTCTTTATATACTAAGCATAATCTAGGCTACCTTAGCATAAACTAGCTTAGTATGTTTATAAAGTATTATTTAAAGCTTAAAGTAAAGTTTTAGGCATAAGTATAGTTAGTAAATATTTAGCCTATTATAAAGCTTATTTTATTAAAGTTATATATATTATTATTTTAAAAGTTATACTTAGCTTTAATATTCTTTATAAGGCTAAACTAGGTTTAAATTACTTTAAAAATTTTATAAAAAACTTTTTTTATAGTTATACTTACACTTAAACTTTACTTTAAGCTTTAGATAACACTTTATAAATATACTAGGCTAGTTTATACTAATATAGCTTAGATTATACTTAGTGTGTAAAGAATTAGCTATATTAGCTATAGCTACTAGCTAAGAGGAAAATCCTTATATATATAGCTTAAGTATGTGCTTAATAATTACCTACTTTTTATTATTACCTAGCTTTTATAATTTAGCTATAAAATTAACTTATAAAAGTTACCTAGTATGTTAGTTATTTATTATTTTTTAAAAGACTCTATATATAGCTGCAGCATGTTATTTTAAAAGTGTTACATTTTATTTAAAAGCTTAAAGCATAAGCTATATTTAATGTTCTTTTAGCATGTCTAAGTAGTGTTGTTAGACATACATTAGTGTAAGAAAAGTAGTTTAGTAAAGTCTTAGTAAAAGTAAGTAACTTAGGTGTGTAAGCAACTTGCCTATAATGTACGTTACATTAAAGTATTAAAAGAATATAATATATGTAATTAAAATAATACCTAAAGACATAAGCTTTATAAAAAGTTATAAGCAATTATAGCGCTAGAACAACTATAAGAAATAAGTATAATAGATTTTATAACAAGACTACCTAAATCTTCTAAACTAGAATTAGAACAAGTATGTAACATAATTATAGTAGTAGTTAATAAAACTACTAAGCCTGTGCACTTCTAGCTAACAGAGAAAATAATTATAGTAGAAGAGCTAGTATACAAATTTAAGAAGAATATAGTAGTATAATATAGAACACCTAGAATAATAATCTTAGATAAAGATAAGCTGTTTATATTAGAATTATAGTAGAAACTAGTAAAACATTTAAGCATAACACATTGCTTGTTAACTGCCTACTACCTAGAATCTAATAAATAAATAGAAAGAGCTAATTAGACACTAGAATAGTATCTAAGAAAATATGTAAATTATAGTTAAACTAATTAGGCGCAATAGCTTCCAATAGCCTAGCTAGCCTATAACACTGCTAAATCTAACTCTACACAAGTATCTCTATATAAGGCAAACTACAGATACTAAGCACAACTTTGCATCTTAGCAATAGGCTATAATAGACCTCTAATAGCTAACAAACAAATCACTAGGATCTACAACATTCACATAAAAATAGTTAAAGAAGTAGGAAAAGTAAATTAATAGATAGAAGAATAATTAAACTAGCATAAAATTAAAATCTTTATAATACAACTAAGTAAATAAGTCTACCTTTTAACTAAGAACTAATAAAGAAGAAGACTTTTATAAAAACTAGTAGAAAAAAGAATTAGTCTATTCTTAGTGCTAGCTATAGAAGGAACTATAATAACACTAAAGCTACCTTAGTAAAAAAAATTTTGTAACAAATTCTACATATCCTTAATAAAAAAGCGCCTATCTATATACTACTAGAGACTAGGAACCTAGATATTAGGTTAGAAGAGGAATATAAGGTAGAAAAAATACTAAAGTAATAGAATAAAAGAAAAGAGTTCTTAGTTAAATAGAAAGAATAGCCTACTTATAAGAACACTTAAAAATCTATTAAGAACTTAAAGAATGCTCTACGCGATTTAAAGAAATTCTAAGATAGTTACTCTATAAAAACTACCTAGAACTTAAAGAGCTAAACAAAGCAGTACTAGATAGTAGTAATATAAGAAAGTAAGTAGTAGGAATTAAACAAATAATAGTAGTTTCTAGAGATAGTATTTTAACTGTTGTAGATTCTAGAATCTCTAACTTCTCTAATAATAAGAAGTCTTCTATAATATATTTAGCTCTGTAATTATAAATAAGCTAGAGTTGTTTCTCTAATTAAGCTTTTTAAGTAGAAGCTTAGGCAACTAGCTTAGTAGCTTTTACAGCCTCTGCTATTACTGCAGCCCTCTTTGCAAGGATGTTAGCCTCTTAGTTAGAAGTGTCTAACTAAGCCTGTTGTACTCTCTTTACTTCTATAAGAAGCTAAGAAAAGTTCTACTCTAAAGAACTCTATGTTAAGTTAGAAATAAAAGCATTGTAATAACTCTCTTTTTAAACACACTTAACACACTTGTCTAATAACAAGGTTAGGACACACTAAGAAGATAATAAAGCATAAGGACTACAAGAACGCATCTTAGACTGTTTAATAAGATTAAGACGCTAGACAGCGCGCTTACAACAGTAACAGATTAGAGCTCTACCTATAGTTAGAAAAGCAAATAAAGAAGGAACCTAGAGGATAAACAAGCAGTTCTAGAGAAACAGCAGCCTTATATGCGAAACAGTAATAGGATGTTAGATGTAGCAGTAAGAACATTGCTAAAGGAGGGAGAGGCAGATGTTACAACTGTATAGACAAGAACAGTTGCACTAGAAGCAGGGTAAGAGAAAACAGAAGCATAGTCTAAGTAGGGTAGTTACATAATAAGGATAACGTGACAGGATTGTAAGCTAAGGAAAGGATTACAAGGATTGCAAGGATTGCATGCGATCTACCTTAGCAGTAATAAGGCCTGTGAGGCCTGCGATCTACTATGTATATAAGCCTAACCCTAAATAACTATTAAAGGTTATGTTAATTTCTATATTAGATAGGATAATACTCTACTTAAGAATCTATACATCTATTACTCTCTGAAATAATTAGTTCTACTCCCCCGCCTATATCTAGGAATAAGGACAAACCACGTTGCCGCACCCACAGACCTATACGCATGCTATAAGGACTGTACACCCTTATAGCCCTGTCACCCCCTTCTCCCCTCGTCACCACATATCCTCGGCCGAAGTACCACGTGACTGCATCACGAAGTAAGTAACGTAACATATAGTTGTAAGCTTAGCCTTGCTAAGTCTACGTCTACGCTTTTAGCTGCGTTCTTTGTTACGTAACTGTAACATAAACCTGTCTAGCGCATTGTTGTGTTTCTATTATACTAGTTATTTAAACTTCTACATAAGCTTATACTAGCTCTACTTAGTTGTTGCTTTTTATTTGTAATAAAAAGCTTTATATTAGCTTACTTAGTATTAAGAAGTTTTAAACTATTAGATAATAGTAGCTTATCTTAACAAAAAGTATGTTAGTTAGATAGTATAGTTTTAAAGACTAAAGTATAAAAATAAAAGTCTTTAGCAGTTACTTAAAGCTAGGTAGAGCTTGCATAGGCAAACCTCTTACTAAGTATGTTAGTAATAGAACTATAAATTGTTCTCTCTTTTAAATTTATAGTTTTAGCCGATAGATATAGTTCCTCTAGCTTAATATTATCTAACTGCTTTAGCTATGTAACAGCACTAGCTACGTTGTTTAGTTCTCTGCGTAGCTTTTGTGTAAGACATATATTGTTCCTATATTACTTAAATACAATCTAGATGATGCTATTGCATTTGATTGAGTTGGCATTGAAAATACAAGCATAGCTTGTTACAATCAGAAGCGAGGGTTTGGTCAATCAATTGTAAAGCGATCATTTGTCGTTACAATCATCCTTGGCTAGGTTATGGTGGAAGAGACAACTTCCTTGCTCGAACCCAGAGCATCATTCTTTCCCTTGTTTGTCTCATCGTCTTGATTCCCCCCATTCCAGGTCCCAGCTTTGCGTTCTTTTGCCACTTTAGTCGCATTCAGCCATTGCATAGCCATGGTGAAAGGAATAGCCGAAGCAGTGAGTGCCACTGCTAGATACATCGTCCTTACAATAGCCTTGTTCCAGATAGCTCGAAGTATTGCTTCAATGCCTGCAGAACCAGCAATTCTGCGAAGGTCAGCTGCACCTGCGGCCATTACCAGTCTTCCAGAAAGTGAAGGTATAGCGGCGGGAACATCATGTACGAGGGTGTTGAGGACAATCGTCTGACCCATAGCGATTGCGATAGCGCTTTTCTATTGCATTAGCATCCAAATAGTTCAAATATCGGACTGTACTCACCCTCCGAGCTGACTGCTAAAGACAGCAATGGCTATAATGCGTTCAGCGCCTGAGGTTTCGGGGACTTTGTGGGATATTTACCGTTGCCAATGGGCACGTCTTCTTCTCTATCGGTTCGTGAGTATCTATGCACTACTCGTGTAGTCTGTGAGAGTTATGTACCTACTCTAAAGTCACTTGGATAGCGGTATACGGAAGTTGCATCGCAATACCCATGCCTATCCCCGTCACAACCATGGAGGCAGCCCAGTACAAGGTCTGCGTGGTAGGAGACAAACGCGTCAACAGTACTAGACCAGTCACGCAGATAATTTCTCCGAACACAATGTATGGGACCTAGTTGCAACTCAGTACCAATTGTTGCACCTGTTAGTCAATGCATCTCACTTACGTAGTATCCATAATGCGTGGCGAGGGCGCCCACCGCTACCAAGGCCAGTATTTCTGGTAACATCATTGGAATGAAACGGACGCCTACTTGGATCGGACCCTCCCCTCGGACCGTCTGAAAATAGAATGGAATGTAGAAGGAAAGCTGTCAAAACCTGTAAGTGACACGCTCCTTAGGTTATAAAGAACGCCCAGGTTTTACTAACCAAGTACAGTGTAGCCTGAGTTAAGAAAAGCACAATAGCTGATGTCCAAATGTTCCTTCGCCGGAGCACACGTAGTGGAATTGTAGCCCTATCTTGGGCTTTCCACTGTACGTAGCCAAAAACGCAGATCAAGGCGCAGAATCCGACAAGCAGTCCGATGACCGTTGCTGAGTTCCAAGGCAGACTTTGACCGCCCCATTGAAGAGCCAAAAGAACACACGTCACTGCCCCTATAAAGAGCGAACAGCCTAGTGGGTCGAAACGTCTAAGTTTTGCCGAGACTGGAAGGCTTCTGCTCGAGTTCTGCGTTCCTGGGACTTTCAAAAAAAGGAAAAGCAGTACAAGTACAACTCCTCCGATAGGAAGGTTTCTGGGAACTGTTTAGTATCTCTTACTACTCAAGACCTCCTGACTTACATCCAAAAGCACCACCTCCACGTCGCCTTCTGAGTAAAGAGTCCGCCAAGGACAGGCCCTACACAAACCGTGACGGCGAAGACACTGATCACTACACCCATATATAAAGGTCGTTTTTGCAGCTCTACCACCTGCATAATCACAGCCAAGGCACCCTGGAGTACTCCAGCTGCGCCAAATCCCGCAATAGCACGACCGACAATAAACATCTTCGAGGAGGTCGCGGCAGCGCACATAGTCGAGCCGACTGAAAACGTCAGAGATTGCACTTGCAAATTATAACTAAAACCTACCTTCAAAAATGATTATGCATGTCTTGTAGGCTATGTCGATGTTGAAATACCGATATATTGTACCAAAGGAAGGCTGAAAAGCCGTGATGGTGAGCAAGTACGCTGATCCATACCATGCTACATCATCCAGGGACTGGAAGCGTGTTGAGATTTCCGGAATAGCGACATTAATGATATTGACGTCCAATGCCATGAGCAGTTGCCCAAAAAAGAGTAGCGAGATGACGATGGCGAGCCGCCATGAGTGCAGGTATTGTTGTTCGTCGTCGATGTATTCGACCTCATGAGGCTCATAGAGAGACCCCATCACCACTTGTTTCTGCTCAGACTGCATCGTGTAGCCACATAAGGTGCAAGTGCCTCAGTTAAGGATTTTGCACTGACCCTGAGAAATGAGCTACATGGATCAGACCACTAGATTGTCTCTCTGTGCCGCAATCTGGATAAACAGATACTGTTCGCTGAGCCGCAGGTCCATCACGCCTCGCCCAACAGCACCTTAGGAATAAGACCTTATTAGGATACGATAGGTGTGGGGGCTAGCACGCGAATGGCGTGATGTGATGTGAGTGAGTGAGCCAGGAATGAGTTCGTCGTGCGCAATCCGCGTAATTCACCAGGCTGCACGCCTATGAAACACAGCCTTTCCATTGCGTACCAATGCCCTGGTTCGGGCCGATCCAGCGCTTACTTCCTCCAGTTATACTGGATACGAGGATACCTAGTGATGAGTATACGCCCCATAATGCCACACACTCCATTCGCGATCCATGCCAAAGACACCCTACTGTATGTCCTCCATTCATGTCGTTCTCGCTTATTGCTGCTCAGATCCACGCATGCACTCCAAGTGCGATCCCTCATCGTGTACCTAGGCAGTTCTTCGCCGCAATAATGGTCAAACAATTTAATGTTTCATCGTAGATAGCGCTTGGTGCACGACACATCTTGAATGCACCCGTTGATCTTGGTTTCCATGAAGTAAGTCACTACAAATAATGGTGAGCTGTATTTACCCGTCGATCAACGGCCCAATCCTGACAGAAGTCATCGGCGAAACCCGCATATCGAATGAACATGATCTTCGATAACACGTTGGACCTTGGTTCCTCTATCTAGCCTGGTGCACGTTCCTAGAATCATCTTGCAGCACCAACGATGGCCGAGTACACCAACATGCGCATCAGTAGGATGATGTATCACGGGCTTAAAATATACTTCAGATATAGCTAGCTAGGCGACAACATAGGAATCAGTAACTCGTAACTGACGCGCAGTGTATGAAGCCTCACTAAGGTACAGTAAATGTACCACAGACAGTTCTCTAAGGACAGTCTTCGATTGAGATAGAATGGAACGAAGCAGAAATTGATGTACCTAACAACCCTCTGCAATTTCCCCCCTTTGGTATAAAACTACTTAGGTATGAGATCTGAAACAAAGTCTTTAAAGAAGGTCATGAGATAAACAACAGAACTTGCTCTTAAAAGGTGTATACGATTCCTACGATTCCTATTCGTATGGTTTCGGAAAGACTCAGGCAAGGTTGATACCATGGTAAGTCGGAAACTCCATACTTTCCAGATCGTGAGCAGAAGAGCCTGAGATAGAAGTAGCGTGTGTTGTAACTGGTTCCTTGAGCTCGACAAATTCGTGTTGACTCTCTGATGTCTCTAGAGTTTTAGCAATTGAAGAAGTGAAGATGTGTGCGAATGAATCAAGCTTGCGCTTCTTCGGTGAGCCACCAATGGTGTGAGGTGCTCCCACTGGTGGAAGTGGAGTTTTCGCAGAGTCCTGTGATTTAAAGAGCGACCGGAAAGATCCAAGAGAACAGACAATCAGAGCTGCAGTATCACTTATCAGTGAAGACTCCAAGTGACAGAGGACATCCTTACCCGCGTAGGTCTCTATATTACTCCAGTTATATAGCCAGATCATATCCTCGTGCCAAGTGTGTGAATTCATGAGAGATACGCGAGCGATGGCAAAGACGATGGTGAAAACAGTTACTGAGAACACCGCTCCAAGCGCTATCTTTCGCCGAGGGCTAATTCGAACCTTCCAAAGCATGGTTATAGGAATACACAAGACTGTCCGAAAAGGTTAGCATCCGCATTTCCGGGGGGCACTAACACCTACTTAGTGTATCCGTAAAGATATCAAGTATACAGTTAAGAATGAGAGTGACCTTCTGATACTTTACAGCACTGTCGCTGCTGCACTTCAAGGCGATCTCTGTGAGTGGTGAGACTAGACATTTGTAGTCGATGTTCCCAACACACACAGCCCATGTAGCTATCGTGATGGCCAAGATGACCCACCAAAACCGCATCCAACTTCCGATATTGACGTACAGGCGCCGGAAGAAGAAGAGGAAAGATAATTTAATGCACCACAGCGCTGAATAGAAGAGAAACACATAAGCGGCCGACGCTTTGAGAAAAGTCTCTGACCGATCTACAAAATCGGACGAAGGCATTTGTTCTCCCCTCGAGACGGCGTTGTTGAGATACATGTTGCCAGCCAAGCACTGCCAGGTTATAGACATTGCGAGCACCATGAGCCATGCGACAAGGACAAAAGCATCGTCGATGTAGAAGCATCGGAAGGTTCGAAATCGCAGGTTTGCCCTGCAGACAACGAAAATGGTTGCAAGTGTGAAGCCTCCCCAAACAATTCCCTAGGACGGATCAGTTCTCGGTAGCTAGGGCCAGAGGGGTGTGCGCTTACCAGGAAGACATTGAGGCTGAATCTCGGAGCCGAGGGGGCATTCGCACTAACAAAGGCTCGAGTCTCCATGGTACAATGATGACCAGATTCAGCACTCCACGGGTAGCTATTGACAAAAGGATTGAAGGAAGTTTCGACGCTCTTTGAGAAAACTCGGTAGGCCTTCGATGAGTGTGCGAGGATGAAAGAGAGTCTCGGTCCTATAACCCAGTGTCAGAGCACCATGCCATCTCTTGGAGTGATGGACTAAGGCTACGCCGCAATCAAAGGCTTTACCGAAGTCCGAAGAGCAATCACAGCTTTTGTTCAGGAATTAGCGCCCATGAATGCACGTCGCCCATGAACGCAGGCAGCAGGACAGGGGTGAGTATCTAGTTTGTCTATGTCCGGTCAGAAAGGCGCCAAATCTGAGGTGCATGTGGAGCGTGCCGAGGCGGAGTACCCCGTCTATGGGGTTAACCTGATGCCCTCTATGGGCGATGCACTCGTGGAGGACTTTTTGGGTAGCGAAGCGACTACTGGCTTGCATATGTGTATAAAAGACAGAATTCTCATATTATCGGAGCATGCACTATAATATGGACGTTGATCATTACAGTCAATTCATTGCTTATTGGTGACCGTCCAGACAAGCACACAAAGCAGGACATGCCAGGGCTTCTCAAACTCTTTGGACCCCAATATCAAACCCTTGGCTTGATGTCAAGGTATAGATCCATATCCGGCATGCAGCCTGTTATACCAGTGGATGGTTTGGTAGTATCCAAGAGTGGGAATGCCTGTGGCTCTCCAGTCGACCCCAGCGGAACTGAGATCTGGAAGCGGTTAATGAAGGCTGCTACAAATCCGCACACCTCAGCCTTTGCTAGATTTCGACCAGGACAATAACTGACTCCACCACCGAAAGGTCTATATGAGGGATGTGCTGCTAACTTTGGCTGTTGGAGGAAACGCTCCGGGTCGAATCGTGTAGTTGACTCCCCCCATACGTTAGGGTTCGAATGTAGCTCCCGATAGGGAATGACAAGAGTATTGCCGGCCCTGAGCACCCTTCCCGAAACTTCAGTATCTTGCTGCACCTTTCGTATACTAAAAGCGCCGTTTACGAGCCGAAGAACTTCGAGATACGCTGAGTCGAGAAGCGGGCAATCATGCATGAGATATGGTATGTCAATCGCAGTGCCACGGAACGCAGGCGAAGTCTCTTTAAGGAGTGCATCGACAAGTGTTTCGTTGTAAGCAACATTGCATAAAAGCCAGAAACACGCATTGATCGTATTACTATGCGCCCTGAAGTTTTGTTAGTACAAAAGTATTCATAGCAAGGTAGACGTCACTTACGCCCACCAAATCATGAACAACATCGCTACTTGACTATCTTCGTCCATTCCAAAGCAATCTACCGCTTCGATAATGGCCCGGACGGACCAAGCGCCTCCTTTCCGGAGCTCTTTTGGAGTTCTGATGTACCGTCGCATTGCTGAACAGAGTATATTCCTCGCTCTGTTAAGTCTAGGAGTGAATATCTTTGGAACGTTGAAAACGCAGGCCCAGGAGTCGTCATTGAAAGTTCTCATATGGTTATATAGGTTGGGTTCATACTCGAACATAAGGTCCCCAAACATTCCACGTGTGGTTGAGTCTGTAATCAGAAAGGCACACAGCGTCTTCACAGAGATCCGGCGGTATTCGATCCCAAATTCTAGAACATATCGCTGGTTGAGATTGGCCCAGGTAAGGTTCTTGTCCAGCATCGAAAGGATAGAATGCCTCAGAAGATCCAGTTGCTCGCCAGGTAGTAACTGTATTTTGTATATATGTTCTATGAGATGGACAAGGCTTTTGAACTGTGGGTTGATGGTCTTCATATGGTCGTTCTGATTGACCAAGCTTGGCTTCGCCCAAGAGATCTCCCTCGCTTTTTCGCTAAGTCCGAAGGCTTTTAGCAGCCTGTCCATGTAGGCGTCCCAGGAAAAACTAGTGGAGTCCTTGTACACAGTGGCAGCATCGTCAGGAGACGAGACGACGTATATCCGCTCTCCAAGAAGTCGAATTGAAAAGGGCTCGTATGATCCACCAAAATAGCAGCTGAAAAGTGTTGGCAATCAGCAAGTTATAGAAGCAATGCTGGATGAACTATCACCTACATGCCGTGACGGACCAGTGACGCAGTATCTTTAAACATAGCTAGAGTATGGCCTAAAGATTATATGAGCACTTGTGGCCTTGAGCACCTCGAATTAGACTGCATACCAAGGACTAAATATTGTCAGCCATGACATAGCAAAGGGGATGGATCTCTTACACGGAATCATGTATGGAACCTCGGCGATCGCCCTTGGACGTAGTCGTGGGTGTATCACGAAGGCCCATAGGCGCCAGCTAGTGTGTAGCACGGCCAAAGCAAGCAACCAGACCCACTCCCGTGTGAAGGAATCATGGGTAACGCTGACGAAGAAAGTATGCCACGATTGGATGGTATTCGAGGCCGCACTGAGCCTTGGCTGAGTCGCTGTCTCGCCTCTTGACCAATCGCCTCCTGCGGGCGTCTGCGGATGTCCACCCCCGGCTCTCGCGCCCGTGCAGTGGACATCTCCTAATGCACCGGCCGCCTGCTGAGCCCGCCGCTGATGGCTCCTGTACTACACACACACACACACACACACATATATATGTATGGATGGAGAGGCCCTAGGGCAGGCCAGGCCCTGCCCTCACCTTCATCCCGAGCCCGAGTTTCAGCGTGCGCTGCTTGCTGCTGTATATACCCTCCCTCACTGTACACACTCACTCAGGGGGCGCGAGCATGGGTCTACAGCGCAGGGCGCGTCGCGAGCGCGCAGACGTCAACATCGCGAACAACGCTAAGCTGCGCGCTAATGCGCACTATATCCTAGCTACAATTCGCGAGCAGCGACCAGAGAATACGCACTAGGTCTATGTTCCAAAGCAGGAGGAATTTAAGGTAGTATTCTCGCCTGCCTGCCTGCCTATCTGTGTGTCTGTGTCTGTGCTAACTCCCGCGTCTAGGCGTTCTGCAAGAGGAAGCAGTACTACAACAGTAGCACTGTTATAGAAGAGAAGCTACTGCTTTTTCTAGTTAAAAAAGTTATAAACTAGCCCTTAAGAACTAGGTCTTGCAAAGTAGAGAGCAACATTCTCTAAGACAAGACGTGTCTTGCCTAGCGCTTAGTTTACGCCTACATTACAGCTATTACTAACCTCTAGCAAGAGCAGAAGGCGCTAGGCATAAACAGCTACCTATTGCTGCGCGTAGACAGCGCAAGGGAGTACCTTAGGTCTCTGCAGCGCAGGGATGCCTAGCAAGATTAAGAGCAGTACGCTAATAAGGGCAGAAACACGCTGCTTAACAGCTACACTAAGGACAAGTTTAAGCAGCTCTGTAGCAAGCTGTAGACACATAGCGCAGACGCAAGCTTGTCCTCAGCAACAGTAGAGTGTCACTTCCGTACGCTAGTCGATCTCATGCTGGGCCACTACATGCTTACGCGCAGAGGCAACTGCTGTTCTGCAGAGATCTTAGACCTGTTCACCTTTAAGTTTAAGGGAGAGGGCCCTACGCGCTGCATGCCCCTAATATTCACTACCTGCGCAAGCAAGCAGAACTAGCACAGCTAGCTTAAGACAATAGGCGCGCTGCGGCATAGAAAGCTAATCCTCTGCATGCTTAGCAGCCTAGCCTTCTACCTGCTCTATTGCTAGGACCTAGGCAACAAGCCCTTTCCTAACTTTAGTAAGCGCTTAGCCTAGTACTGCATACAGCTAATTAAGGCTAGCACAGGCAATTATACAGCAGCCTTCTCTTACAACTCCCAGCGCAACTAGGTTGCAAAGGCGTACAGTTACGCTAGGATCTTATCTTAGAAGAAGACTTACCTCCTACACAGTAAAGCAGCTAAGCTAGCAGAGCTTAAAGAAGTTAGTAAAGATTAGATTTAGTAAGCAGGCAGGTAGAATTAAAAGTAAATAGTTAGCTGCTACTTTAACTTACTGCTGCAAAAGTTTATAAGGTCTATAGCTAGCTATCTGCTGCAGATAGGCTGCTTTAAGATCTCTTACGCAGCTATTGCGCCTCTAGACAAGCTCCTATCTCTTATCTAGCTAGAGCTTAATGCGTGGAAGGGCCGCTTTAGCCTACACGCTGGCTAGATTAACAACCTAGCTGTAGGGGGCCTTATAAGCCTGCTGCTCTACCTTAGAGAGGTGATCCTCTAGGACTCAGCTGCGCTGCGCTAGCGCTTCCCTAGCCACCCTGTGTGGAACCACCTAGTGTTCTAGCACAGGGCGTACGCCGCCTTTGCTTAGGACATTAACGCGTCTCTTAACGCAGAGGCAGCTCCTAGTTAGCTGTTAGTCCTGTACTAGGCAATACCCCTGCTTGCTAACTAGCTCTAAGCGCTAGATGCCTAGAACAAGCAGCAGATAAGGGAGCTTAAGAGGGAGCTTAAGGCAGACTTGGCAACAATCAAGTTGACTTGTTAACTTGACTTAATTAACTTAATACTATTAAGTTAATTAAGTTAAGCATAGAAGCTAAATTTATTAAGTTAATTAAGCAAATCTTGCTTACTTAATTAACTTAATTAACAGACTTAATAGGCTGCAATATTATAGGTTTTACTAGAGGATTACTAAAGGTTACAGTATCTTCTAGTACGTGGAGTAGTAAATCCTAGTTACAGCTACTAAGGTAGTACCTTACTGCCTACCTAATAGAGCTTAGCGTCTTCTATTCTGCCAACATAAAAGCTTACTGCCTACCTAGTAGAGCTTAGTGCCTATCTAAACCTATTGTAACTTTAACGCGTTATCTTGCCTACTCTACTAACGCCTATCTCTATTAATACTAACACCCTCTTTATTAATATAGCGTTGCCTAATTACATAGAGGGCATAAACAGTAACCTTGTCTAAGTTTTTAGCTAGCAGCTTAAAAGCGCAGTGTTACAAACTGTCCCTAAAGATAGCGCTACTAATATAGCCACTAACGCGTTGCTAGAGCTTAACGCTAATAAAAGCTTTATAGGCAAGTTATAATTAACTACTAATAGCAATATTAATAACAATAATAATAACAATTATAACAGCATTAACTAGCTACGCCTATTAGGTTATTACAAGCCACCCTACACACTAAAGCGCAGTTAAAAGAGCTAGGTTTAGCAATATAAATATTGCCTTTAGCATTAAAAGCAACAACGCCTGTATTAGCTCTGCTGTTACTGCTACACCTATAGGTAACCTAATAGCTTTTATTAAGCTAATCTATTAACTACATTAATTGCGCGCTATCTTAGAGAGCGTAAAGCTAGCCACAGCATTAACAAGAACAGCAAAAAGTCTACCTACTGCGTTACAACAACATCCTCTACGCAATTCTCTCTACTTGCCTATATCTATTATAAAGGCTTTAGGGTATTATAAAGTGTTGCTAATCTTATTATGTTAAGCTTTTTACGTACAACTTTTCTATAGTTAGTACTTAATTAGGTAGTAGCTAATAACTAGGCGCTCTTTGTAATTAAGGGCGCAGCTTTTTGTAACATGTTATAGCAGGCTAACCTGTTAGCAGAGACAGAGCTCTAGAGATCCTATAATACCTTACAAGCCTATATAATTGCTAAGTACAAGTCCTATGTGCCTACTGTTATTAATTACCTACATAACACGCAATTAGCTATCTATATCTTCTTTAATAATTAAACATTAACAGGTAGCAAATAGGTGTTAACAGGTATTTATGTCTACCACCTTAATAGTAACAGTAAGCCTTATAATTACATATTAAGCCTACCTTTATTAATAGGCTAGCATATAGGCGTTAATATTGCTGCTGTTGTTAATGCTACGCTTAAAAGCTTTAAAATATCTGCGCGTAACTTAGGCTACTTTATCCTTAATAATGCTACTAACAACAACGCTACTATTAACGCCCTAGCTATTAAATACAGCTTTAACGCCTGTTATTAACGCCTATGTTGCGCCTACTATATAATTAATCTTACTGCCTAACAGATTATATTTAGTAAAGATTAAAAGGCGTTTAATAACGCAGAGAAGCACTTAAATAATAAGGCAGCTTTTCTTAATAAGTAGTAGCAGGCAGGCCCTTTAGGCGTCCTAATTAACGTTATCGCCTCTATCTGTACGCTGTAAGCTTGCCAGCTTCTTAAATAATGCTAGGTAGCCTACAACGCTTAATTAGATAGTAATAGTAAGGTAAAGACGCTAGAGATTATTAAGCTAGTAAAAATAAAATAAAACTCTTATTATAATTATTTTTTACACGCGCTTAAGCTTTATATGCCTTTTAACAACTATATTAACTACAAGCTTATTAAGTACTAACGCTAGAGCACTTGTTAATGCTTATAACTACTTAATTTTAAGCAGCGTTGCTTTATCTAAGAGGATAGCCTTAGTACAAAGAATTAAGTAATAATTACAGAGTATTGCAAGATCTTACAACCCTTTAAAGAGGCTACTATTTGTATAAAGGGCAGGGGTGTAGCTAGTATGTTAGGAGTAATATAAGAGGTCCTACTTACGCTTACCTAGCTTTCTACTACCCTTAATAATATGCTTTATTAATATAATAATGTTAACTTTAACAATGTTAACGCTTTAAAGGACTACATAAAAGCTACCTGTAATATAGCCTATATAAAGATCTATAAGTATCTGCACAAGTTAAAGGATACCCTAGCATATTACGCGGCCTGCTGTCTCCACCCGCGCACAAAAGGCTACATAGATAAGGTGTAAAAGGTGCCTTATAATTATAATAAAGAGCTTTATGTAGGGCCTTACCCCTACAAAGGCTAGCTAGATAATTGCTATGTTAGCTTTTAACACTTATAGGCAGAGTTTAAAGATGCCACCTTTCTAATTAGTACGCTAGAGCTACTACTAAAGAAGGCGCGTACTAGGCTGTCTAGGAGCTAGTTAGACTTTATAAGAGCTACCCTATAAAGTAACAACGCGCGCCTATCTCTTTGCTGTAATAAGTTTAAGTAGTAGATAATTAAGTTACCTATGCTAGAGAAGTCTTTATTTACACGCAATCTAATTATCTACTAGATTAGAAAGGCTGACAAGTACTCTATCCTATTGCGCTTTGCCCTTACAGTCCTTAGTATCCCTACTACAGCTACTAACTATAAGAGGACCTTTTCTAAATTAGGTAATTTATTAGAGATAAGATAATTACGCATAAAGGTAGATCTCCTATCTGCTTTATAATTACTATGTAGCTAGAAGCGCCTTAGCTTAAAGCCTATAACAGCATTAAACAGTCCCTGTAATAACAGTATCTCTCCTAAAGAGCTTAAGACTATCTACAATATCTACAGTTAATTTAATACGCTGTAACTACGCTGTAAAGCTATTAATTAAGTTAAGTTAATTAATTAAGCTAGCCCTTTTTAGGGCTATTAAGTTAATTAAGTTAAGCAAAAGCCGCTAAATCTGTTAATCAATCAAGCTATTCACCTTGACTTAATTGACTTGATTGTTGCCAACTCTGGCTTAAGGAGGAGCTTAATTATGTGCGTAAGCTGCAAAGATTACAGTCTTAGCAGCTGCAGGTGCTTACGTCTGGCAGCCTTATGTTCCGCCTGGAGGCGTCGCAGGCGCAGGGCGGTCTGCTGCTGCCACCACCTCCACTCAGGCACACAGCAGCTGCGCCGCCGTCGCTGGCAGACGTAGATTCAAGCAGGTATACCTCTGCCTAGGCCAGCATCGCGCCTACGCCGTCTGCGCGCTCGCCTAGCCTATCGCCTCTGCCAGCAGCGCTTGAGCTGGCGCCTGAGCTAGAACCTGCACTAAAGCATCGCATGTGGCGCGCTGTGAGGACTGTGGAGGATCTCTAGCGCGAATGGACAGTAGGCCTGCAGGGCCAGCCTTCTATTGCTAAGCTAGACAGGCGCTAGGGGAACAAGTAGAGGTTAGGTTGTTAGAGCAAGCTGTAGTAGTACTCTCTGCAGCTTAAGGTTATTAAGGAGATTAGGCGCATTACGCAGGCGCAGAGGACTAGCGAGGAGGCGGCTATGTGGCAGGTGAGCCAGCAGCAGCAGCAGCAGAGGGTCTTGCTAGACTAGCTCTGCAAGCATCTTAGAGTTGCTTAGAAGGAGAGCAATTGCCCCTAGTTTTGTAGTCCTAGTATTGTATATAGTTATTGTTATAAAAGTTAATTAATTAGTGTTTAGATAGTTATAGCTGCTAAGCAAAAATTCTATTCTGCATTATTCTGTAATTTGCTATAACTTGTTGTAATTTGCTGCATTGTTCTATAATATGCTGCGTCTTATTGCAATTTGCTGCATTGTTCTATAATTTACTATATTATTCTGCAATATGCTGCGTTTTGTTGCAATTTACTGCATTATTCTGCAATTTGCTGTGTTTTATTGCAATTTGCTGCATTATTCTGCAATTTGCTGCTTCTTGTTGTAATTTAATACATTATTCTGCAATTTACTGCATTGTTAGGATACTGTGCGAGCACAGTATACTTCTGTCACACTGTGACATTTATAGAGAGGTACCTAGCAGCCATACAGTGCGTTCCTAGCAACGTAATAGCAATTATAATGCAGCTCTGCAGCGCTTTAAAGCTAGAGCAGCCTGGCAGCTATTATAAGACTAAAAATCAGGCTATTTGCACATGTGGCGGCGTAGATATTGCCCATGGAGGGTGGGCAATAGACATGGGTGGATACTGGAAGTTAATGAGCGCACGGTCCCCTCTACCAGCAAAAATCTCGCTAAGCCGCTGAATCAGCCATACAAATGTCGCCGTAGATATACTATTGATATCTACCAACATCTTGGAAAACGACGGTGCGCTTGAAAAAACTTGTGGTGAGAAGGTTTGGCCGTCTAGGGAAGACTACACTTCGAACTTATAAACTATCAGCGCTACAACATGTACTACTCCTGTTTCTAGTTGTTTTGACGCTGCTACGCCGCCTTACTTCTCCAAATTGGGCCCCTTGTTGCGGCGTGGTCTCTGAAACATATGCCCAGGAATAATACACATACGATGTCTCTAGTTTATCGCCCCTCTAGAGAGGCTGGTAGACAATATATCTACGGAGTCCGAAGCAACAACGTTAAGGGTTCCCATCGCATTTACAGATCAGTGAGAATGCGTACCACTGCCATCTTCGTCGGTAACGACTGCTGGGAGCTGAGACAATTTTCATTGCCAAAACACCCCGCCTCGTGAAGTGGAAAAATTGGTTCTTCCGGCGTTAGTCTAAGTCGATTGTGGTGTTAATCAGTATATGTATATCAACCATCCGGCCCTCTCTCTCTCTCTCATGTCCGCTACTATTTCCGCTCAAGTCCTCCTACCTGTATCACATTTGTTTACATACCTCCCCACTTGCTGCCCATTATGATACGCCACCCGTGGGGGCCATCAAATCAACCTTTCCTTGGACACATATCAGTCACATGTCTCTTACTCGGTGCGTTCATCCTCACTCTGTTCAGGGTTGTCATGGCATCAGGCTCGAGGTGGAATGACTGTAAGTATTGAAAATATTCTTAAAAGCATACAGTTTACAGTGGCTCTAGACCTGAACATGATTATCATTGTAAGGCGAATGCTAGGTGCGCCTGGAGTACTGCTGATAATGAGCAGCTTGTTGTCTGGTATGCCCGACGTCCGTCGGTGATAATCCTGGTGGATAAGGTGCAGGAATAGTATGCAGGGGTGGGGCAGATGGGAAGGCCCGAAGGCCGAAGGATTAGGGCACATATCCGTTTTCCTCGCTTGACGCACGGCCTCACCTAGCGAACGGATTTCAGCCAACATCTTCACAGAGATTTAAAGCTCTAGAGCCTAATATAACTTAAATTATCACAACCTTTTATAGAGTAATAGGCAATAAGGTATAGTAAACAAAACTACATTATTATCAAGTTGCAATACCTAGTAGGAAGGTTAATCTGTTGCCCTTAGCAATTTGTTAGCTAGAGAGAGTAATAACCCCTACAACTAATTTCTTATTACTACTATTATTCTAAGGACTAAGAGACTACTATTCTCTTATTTTTTTTAAGCCTATTTAGCATATTAGATGTTCTTTAGGAGCTGCGCAGCTGCTAATCTAGCTTACTTGTTGTTCTTTTTCTTCTACTACTTCTAAGTTTACTTTTAAAGTTAGATATTCTTTGCAGTAACCTTTATATGCAGTTTTTTAATATCTTACTTTTTATTTACTTTTTCATAGCTTTATACCTAGTATTTTTTATTTTTAAAGTCTTTTTACTTTTACTACTTTTATTTTATGCTTATAAGTTTACTAGACTTTATTTAAGCTTTAAAAAATTAGTTTACTATGTAAATTTAAAAAAAAGTTAAAGCTAAGAATCTTTACCCTTTTACAACTACTTTTTCTTATTAACTAGTGCTTTTTTAAAGTTGTAAACCTTTAGTTTTAAGAAAATGTTTTATATAAATAGTAAGTAAGTTATTAATAAAAGCTACTACGCTTTAAAGTTATATTTATTATTAAAAACTAATGTTAAAACCTTAGTAATCTTTCTCTAAAAATTTTTAGCTGTTAGCACTAACCTTAAGCTTTTTCTAAAAAGAAAACTTTTAGCCTTAAAGTTATAACATACTCTACAGGCAAGTTGCTTACACACCTAAGTTACTTACTTTTACTAAAACCTTACTAAACTACTTTTTTTTATACTAATGCATTCCTAACAACACTACTTAGATGTGCTAAAAGAACATTAGATATAGCCTACACTCTAGGCTTTTAAATAAAACATAACACACTTAAAGTAATATACTATAGCTATGTATAGAGTTTTTTAAAAGATAATAAATAACTAATATAACATACTTTATAGGCGAGTTGCTCACACACCTGAGTCGCTCACTTTTGCCAAGACCCTACCCTAACAAACTCTATTATAGCCTATAACAACCTGCTCTAGCACTATATAGTACAGTACAGCCTAGAATATTATTTAGATACTACTTCTGCTTCTTGCTTACACATTTGCGTGTTATGCCTAGTCTAATTGCACTATCTGCAGCGCCTTTAGGATAGCTTACCTACTTTAGCTTGCACCTGCTTCTTTGCCTTCTTTCTGTTACTGCGCGCTTTAAACTTCTTTAAAGCTGTTAAGTGTCACGGTATCCTCCCCGGATCCCAGACATAACTGTATTAGATGCGTACTAGAGTATTATTAGTGCACGTCTGACACAAACACAACACAACACAGACATAAACTTAAGCATAAACCGCCTTAACACTAACTAAACCTAGAACAGGCTTAATTTATACCTAAAGCGCTTAGACTTCTAAGCTAAGTATTTAATTACTAATTTTCTTTTAAACTTTTCTGTTTCTTACATAACATCTTATACTTACTATAATACCTTACATAGTAATTAAACTAGACTTTTATAAAGCTTTATAACCTTACTTATGCATAATTATAATATTATGTTGTGTTAAAACTCTAGCTAAGAATAGCCTCTAAATTTAATTTAATAAGCTTAGTACTTACATAACTTTAAGCTATTAGAGTAAGCTAAAAAGCCTTCTAAAAAGCACTTACTTTATAAAAAAGCTGCTATATTATAAGCTTTAAAGCTTTTTAAAAGAACTTTAAAGAATAGCTTTATATTATTAAGTAGTCTATTTCTGCCTTAACTTCTGTTATAGTAGTAAAAACTAAGAACTTACTAGCTTTAAAGCTTATCTAAAGATAGCTTAACTTTTTTCTGCTTAACACTACCTACAACCTGTAACTTTTTTAACTTAGTAATAAAATCTAACTAACTTCCTAATCCCCTACTGTTTAATAAAAAATAGAAAGACCTACTTTTCTTTCTACATAAGCTCTAATATAAACTTAAAGAAATTATAAACTAATTTTTTTTTAAACACTTCTAGTTACTATATGCCTACTCTTAACTTAACTATAACATAACAGCCTTAATTAACTTACTAATAAATAAAGATATTATTAACTTAGATTAATTTATAGTGTTTTTATAAGTAACTTATAAAGACTTAAATAAAAAGTTAATAGCCCTAAGTTGCTTAAACACTTTATAATAAAAAAGAAAAAGCTTTACTTTATACTTTACTAAGTTCTACTAACTTACATCTAATATAGGCCTAAATAAGATAGGTCTAATTATAGCTCTATATAACTCCCTCTTAACTAAACTGTAACACGCTATAGTAGAAGAACCCCTTTTAAACAACCTTAATGTGTATGTAAACCTAATTACTACCTATAATAATAACATAAGGTTTCTCTCTATACAAGCCCTAATACACCTCTAAACTAGCGCAGTTATAAATAAAGACCTTAACATAATAAAAATTAATTTAAATTATGCTTTAGTTAGTTTTAAAGAGCATAAAGATTATAAAAAAAAAGTTAATGCTTTAAGTGTAGTAAGTATAGTTATATTTTTTAAAACTACTTTATTCTCTTTTTTTAAGTCTATGCAAGTAGCGCTGCTAGCACTTATTAAAGATTCTTACTATTTTAATCTTATTTTTATAAAAGCTTTAACTTATATTTAAGCTCTAATCTTTCTTGCTACTTTTAACATAGCTGCAGCTATAGCAGTAGAAGCCTGTAAAAAGGCTTGTCTTAGGGCTAAGTTACCTCTTAGGACTAATTTAACACTAGATCTTTACTAACTTATAGGCTAAGTCCCCTACTAATAACTAGAAGTACTAAGTTAATATTTTTATATATTTATAATAAAAAACTATATTAGCTTTAATATAAGCTTTTATTAACTTAAAAGTAAATAGCATAAGTTACATTAATAGAAAACTAGCATGTAAACTAAATCTTTAATTAACACTACTTACCTAAATAATTTACCTAACTAGATTTAATAGAAAATAACTTAAAAGAGGTTTTATTTTTTATACTACAACTGTTATAATTACCTACTAACACTATAAAGAGCAGATTAAGCTTTATGTAATAAACATAAAATGTTATAACTTAATCTTAGGATAACTATAGCTGTATTAGCATAAGGTTGCTTTTAATTACTAAGAGTAAGTTCTAAACTTTAACTCTTTTTAATACTAAAATGTATGCTTATGCTTACACCTAAACAACACTTAAGTAGCACTTAATATAGAAGGTCTCTAGACTTACTTTTTAATAACCTAGAGAAGAACTACCTAAGTAAGGCTAACAAGCTAGGCCTTTTACTAAAATAGGCTATGTACAATAATTTAATAACTACTTAAACTTAAAAAAAAAAAAGCTTTTAAGAAATCTTTACTTACTTAATTTAGACATAAACTAGGACTTAAACAGTAAATAGACATCTGCTACATAGAACCTGCCCTATTTATAACCCTAGCTTAATAACTAGATTATAAAATCTACATAGTTATAATTTCTAATATAGACTAAGCTTTAGCTTCTTAAAAACGCACTAACTTAAAAATAATAGTCTCTTAAGACTACTATAACTTATTACATGTTTTCTTTTAAAATAAGTTTAATAAGCTTTTAATATAATATCTATATAATTACTAGATAACCTTTAAGCCTAGTAAATAACCTAGTTATAAGCTACTATATAGAATGTTACTAAACAAATTAAAAGTGCTTTAAAAATACTTTAATAAGAACTTAGAAAAAAAGTTTATTTAAGCTAGCTTCTTACTAGTAGTGTTACTTATACTATTTATAAAGAAACCTAGAGGTAGGCTTTAATTTTATGTTAACTACTAAAGACTAAACACTATTACTATTAAAAACTAATACTTAATTTCTTTTTTACAGAAAACCCTAAGCTAACTAAGTAAAGTAAAGTATTTTATAAAGTTAAATATTATTACTGCCTTTAATAAGCTAAGAATAGTAAAAGGTAATAAGTAGCTAACAGTGTTTTAGACCTAATATAGACTATTTAAGTACCTAGTAATGCCCTTTAGCTTAGCTAACACGCCTAGTACTTTTTAACATTTTATAAATAACTTGCTCTAACCCTACCTAGACATGTTCTGCACTATGTATATTAATAATATTCTAATCTACAGTAATAGCCTTTTAAAGCATAAACAGCATGTACGCCTAGTGCTAAAGGCTATAGAAGAAGTAGGTCTGTAACTTAACATAGACAAATGTAAGTTCTACTAATTAAAGGTTACATATTTAAAATATGTAATCTCTATAAATAGCATCTAAATAGACCCTATTAAAGTTTAGACTATGCTAGATTAGTAATACTTAAAAAATATAAAAAATGTTTAAGCTTTTATAGAATTTACTAACTTTTACTAATAATTTATTAATAACTTTTTATAGTAAGTAAGCTTTATAATTACACTTACTAAAAAAAAAATTTAATTTAACTTTAACCTAAATTACTAATAGTCCTTTAACTAGCTAAAAAAAAGCCTTTACTAATGCTTTAATACTCTGCTACTTTAACTTTAAACTACTAATACTTATAGAAGCTAATGCCTTAGACTATATAGTAGTAGAAGTTCTTTTCTAGACTAAGCTAGATAGAACTATTAAGCCTATTACATACTTCTTAAAAAGAATAAGTTTTATAAAAAGTAATTATAAAATCTATAACAAAAAATTACTTGCTATAGTACACTGCTTTAAATAATAGCAACTTAAACTAGAAAGTGTAGCGCATCTAATATAGGTTCTATCTAACTATAAAAACTTATAGTACTTTGCAACTATAAAACAACTTAGCTACTAATAAGCTTGTTAGTTTAAATACTTATTTTATTTTAATTTTAAGATTACTTATTATCTTAG